TAGTTGCTGTAAGAAGCTCTATTCGATATCGCCTGGCCCCCTCTCTAAGACTCCCTCCTCCGGTCGTCGCCGTAGTTTAGGGTGGACAGTGAATATCATGATTTCTGGACTGTCAGCATGATGCTGCTAATGTTATTGATATAAACACACATACCAGATGCAACTATGTCTAAAATAATAGAATAAAGGGATTGGACTAAGTGTCATGTGTGTATGAAGACATTTTATGACGCAGCCTCTGTGTTTCATCCCTTAGTTGTAAACACTGGTCGAACTTTGCATGTGAGCAAGGGCGGGAATTATCAGTGCAGCCTCCTAACTCATACTGTGCTAGTCTGAGCGCACCAAAATTTCACGGAAGACATCGGAATGAAAAGGGAACAAGTTGAGTGGGGTGGAGGGGGAGGGGAATGGGAGACGGGGCAATTCCTGCCTAGATACGTATAAAGTAGCAAGAAAAGACGTTTTCCCTTCTGGCATGGGCTGTATGCTTTGTATCATGGCGCTGCAAGGCCTTATCAGTACTATGATTCTTACGTTCTGAATATTGTGATTTCTCCCGATGTACTTGGCAAGGGTTGAATTGTTTTGGGTGTTCTGGAGGTATTTTAACCATATCGTTGTGAATGTCGCTATTTCTTGATCATTTATGTGTATCTTATCGACTACGAGTATACTGACATCGTAATATTTTCTTGTATTATCAGAAATACCAGGATTTCAACGTTTTATCTTTGTTTTTCTTGTTTTTAGACTATGAACGCGTATAATATTACTACCTGTCATTTGAGCTCAAGTGTTCTGAAATGTGATTTATCGAATTAAAAATTTTTAATTTTCGATATTTTTGCTTCCGGCTTTAATTATTTTATTCAGTGGGACAAGTATTTTTGTTTTGCAGATTAAAAATGTATTGATAGCTCTAATTGATCGCCTCGCAATTTATGCTTCTTGCGAAGGTGCTGAAATTCCGGCCGATCTACCGCTTTTCGATATTTTCTCGAAGCAAACAGAATCGGTGATAATGAGCCGCGACGGCATGCCACCAGAAGACATCGTTTCTTTGCAGGTTTGATAGAATTTTAGGAGCCCCACAGTCGTTTTGCCCCCTTCTCTGTGTTTTTTCTACTGAACAAGTGTACTGTTTCATCGAAGGTCGTTTTTTTTAATGAGTTCTACCACAGAACTATACAAATTACACTTAACGAATGTGTAAGCCAAATGTAGCAGTCACGTTGACCCTGGAAGCTTAATTGGTGAGAGCGCGATAGAATACAGAAGGAAAGAACAGTATGAGAAAAAAAAAAGCAAGAGTGAGATAAGACGTTTCGGCCCATTAAGTCATATATGTCTTAACTCAACACCGCGACAGGACCTCATCAGTATGGTGGTTATGTAAGTTCTTGCTTTTTTTTCAGACTGCTGTTGTGAATTTTGCATTAAAGTGTTACCCGGAAAGAACCGATTATGCGGATACAGTTTTCACAACAACAGCAGATGTCTTCACGAAATTAAAACTTGGGAGGTAAGTTGCCGAGTTACAAAAAGATCGGATGTCTTTGCTTTACCTTTGATTTTTTGCGAAAAATGCGGCTGCACGATTGAAATATCTCGTAAGAGTATTCATGATAACAGCTTAGTTATGAATTTACCTTAACAATAATTTTTAGCTGATTTTCACGGTCTATTTATGGATTTATGATTGCCCTAGTAGCTCATTCCGGAATTCATGTTTCAGTCCCAGTAATTGCAGGTTTTAAAATCTTTGAAATCGTTTCGAGCCTGAATATGTAGGGACGGCTGCCAAATTTTTATACTTTATATTATATATATTATCATTACAATCTTCATTACATTGTGCTGTTCGGGATATTACGCGATTTTGTTTGATTTTTTTATGCACCGATTTTAAGGACACCGTATAATGATATTGTTGGCCGTGAGATCATGAAATTTTTACGTATTCCTGTGGATCAGTACGACGATGTTGTTCAACTGCTGCACCTGGAACACTACAGCGACGTGATCGAGCTGCTGGATTACCGTGGTCGTACACAAGCAGCCTCATACGTTCTACAGAATATGATAGAAAATGTAAGTTAAAAACTAATGAAAAAAGGACAGTGAAATATAAAGTAAGCGGGGAAAAGCATGATTTTTGCTCATCGCTCTCAGAATCGTAGATGTAGGGGAAAAAATTGCGAAAAAAATTGACTTAGGAATTTCCCTAGAAATTGTAGAATTTTATCTTTGAACTAAACGCGAATTATTTGAAAAGAAAAAGAAAAAAAAAGTTCCAGAAAATGCATACAAAAATGTTTCACTCTCTTTTATGTCTCTCATTTCAGGATACAGCTCTGACAACAATGGAAGAAGTGGAGAAGTTGTTGCATCTGATTGAATCATTGCTTGTGGACCAGGAAGATCAGCCAAATGATTTAGAGACCAATGAGGATTTTGTGGACGAGCAAATACTTGTTGCACGACTGGTCAACCTTATCCATGCACCGTCAACCGAT